GTGTAATCAGGACTGGAAGAAGACTCATCAACAAACTGTTATGCTGATGACAACCTTGTTCACTGAAACTGAGATCCTGAATAATTTGTTGCAGAAGGTCAAGGACTGCAGGCTTCAATATGAATTTGAGGTTGTTAAATTTCTTCTTGCTCAGGTTCACAAACAACAATCTTGGCACCAGCAGACAGGAAATCAAAGGATGAATTGCATTTGTAAAGTCTGCTATCAGGAACCTCTCCAGAGTGCTAAGGAGCAATGAAGTCAGTCTAGAAAGATTAAGGTGATCCAAGCCATAGTCTTCAATTACTTGCTAAGCATCAGAGAGCTGGACAATGACTGAGGATGATAGAAAAATAAGCAATGCCTTTGAAATGTGGTGCTGAAGAAGAGTCCTGAACTGCCAAGAGAACAAACAGGTCTGTCCTGGAGAGGGTTGCTCCTTGGAGGCAAGGATTATGAAGTTTCATTTCACATACTTTGGACATGTTGCCCAGAGGGACCAGTCCTTAGAGAAAGACATCATGCCCAGAAGGGTAGGGATTCAGCACAGTGTAGGAAGACCCTGGGTGAGATGAACTGGTATAGTGACTGTGGCCATGAGGACAGATGTGTTAGAGACAATGAGATTGGCTCAAGATAGGGCAGTTCGAAGCTATTGTACATATGGTCAGTATGAGTCATGGTTGACTTGACAGCACATAGCAGCAACAAAATTGATATTAGATGGGAGCCCTGATGGCTCAGTGGTTCAGCACTCAGTGGCTGACTGAAAAGTTAGCAATTCAAACCTGTCTGCTGCTCCATGATAGAAAGAGGCAGTAGACTATTTCCTTAAATGTCTACCACCTAGGAAACCACATGGAGAACTTCTCTGTCATCCAGGGATACTATGAGTCGGAATTCGCTCAATGCCAAAGCATTTCTTTGGTTATAGTATTATAAAAGGAAGTAATAGCAATAATTAGTATTGTTATTATTTTAACAATTGTTTTTATTCTTGTTGGTTGCCATGAAGTTGGCCCAAACTCCTAATGATCTCATGCACAATGGACGAAAAACGTGTCCAGGTCCTCTGCTGGTCCCATGATTGCTAGCAGAGCAGACAGCTGTTATCTACAGGTCTTCGCTGACTGACTTTCGCAAGTTGATCTCCAGGTCTTGCTTCCATGTGTGTCCCAGTTTGGTAGCTGCACTAAAATCAGTCCAGAAGGGAACAGTATAATATGTAAGCCTTCACAAAACAACAGGAGGGGGTTGCTCCTGAGATGTGCTAACTGAGAATCAAACCCAAGTCTCCTGCATGAAAGGCAAGAACTCTGCCACTCAACTAGCAATGTCTCCTTCTCACAACATATGCTGAAGGATTAATACAGATACCTTACTTCATTGAACTTCCTTCTCCTCCTATATAAAACAGAGATTAAAAATATTTATTTCACAGTCTATTCTTACGATTTGATTAGATATAGAAGAAAAGTACTGGTCTTGCTCATCTATTGTGCAAAACAAATTATAGCAGACTATCACAGCTAAAAACAAGCAACAGACATTCCCTACTCCTTGGTTTCTTCGAGTCAGGACTCAGACATCCAGGAGCCACTTAGTTGTGTGATTGTGATTGTGTGAAGCTGTCTCTTAAAGTTGCAGTCAAGCTGTTAGCCAGAACATAGACTCATCTGGGTGGGTCACTTTGGGAAAAGAATCCTGCTCCCACCTTCACTCATATGATTATTGGCAGAACTCTGACCTCAGTTCTTCACTGTGTGGGTGTCCCCACAGGCCTGCTGCACAACATGACAAGCTGGCTACCCCGAGGCTAAGTCACAAAAGAGCAAGTGAGAAAGAGACTCCAAGGAGAAGTCATTTCTTCCATTATCTAATCTTGGAAGTGACATCCCATCATTTTTGCCAAATTCTCATTAGGAAGGAATTATTAAATTCAGACAAGGGCATGAATACCGGGAGATAGGAATCATTAAAAACCATCTTATAGGGTGCCCATCATTGGCTGTGACACATGCTACATGTTAGGTGAATGGTAACTATTGAGATCCTTACATGGAAAATTTGGAAATAATTCAGAAATTTTTAAAAATTTTTTAAACCTACACCGTCAGTAACTTACTATAGTCATATATTTGAGAAATTTCATTTGTGCCAATGCTAACTTTCAGAGAGGACTATCTTGATCTCTTTCCCAGATAAGTGCTTTCATTATTAACCACCCACTCCTGGAACCACGCCCCATGGTCTCTCCAGATTCTGGGCACACGCTACTGCCAGCGATAGAACAGTCACTTCAGAATCCCCTGAAAGCAGACTGGAACAATGAATGGCACTTCTACCCCAGGAGAAATTATTCCAAGTATTCCAAGAAAACTCTCCATTGCATTTCTCAAACCCATAATTTTAAAACTATCTTCACCATTTTTATCAAAATTCACAAGTTACTTACATTGGTTTTCACTTAAAGATTTCCTTTAAACTCAATTCATTGCCAAAGAGTTGGAACTCATAGCTGAACCTCCAGCAGGTTTCCAAAGGGTATAAATCACATGCAAGGAGATTGCCAGACTTTCTCCTTCCAAGCTGCTTGCTCGCAGATGCAAACTGCCAGAGAGCTGTCACCTTTGAGTTCACAGCACAATTCCCCACCAGCTACGCCACCAAAGTTCAGTTATTTCAGCTAAAACATTTGTAAGATGATTTAATGTATCTTTTAAAAAACTTTTTCAGCACTTCAGTAAATTTTTAAAAAAATCATCATCTCTTACTGGTAAAGTAGCACTTTAAGGTGAAAACTATGGGTGGAAGCAAAATAATACTAATAACACTACTAAAGTGTTGTTTGCCACCATCTTCTCTATTATAATTAAAAAAATATGTTCACAGACATTAAAGATGCATTAGACTGATTTATAACCAAAGTTTGGTTTTATTTTCTTTTTTCTGATTAAAATTAACACAAAAGAATTGATAAAAGAAATAACTTCCTATGTTTCAAAGTTAACACTGGAAAAAAATTCAATAGACTTTTCTTTCAGTCAGCAAGGCTTTCTTTTCATACCCATCGTCAGTTCTAAGCCATAACATCAGCATATTGATATCACAATTCTAAGCAATAACTAATTGCCAGTCAGTTCTGATTCATAGCAACCCTATGTTTCTCAGAGTACAACTGTGCTTCATAGACCTTTTATTGGCTGATTTTTCAGGGGTACATCACCAGGACTTTTTTCCAAAGCACTTCTTTATGGGCTCAAATATCCAAACTTTTGATTAACAGCTATGTATGTTAATCATTTATACTACCCAGAGACTGAATCAGTGGATAAACACATACTCAATGTGTATTTGTAGTTTTTTGCTGTTGTTGAGAATATACACAGAAAACATAAGGCAGTTCAGAAATTTCTACATATACCATTGATTATACAGTGACATTGATTACATTCTTCAAGTTATACAAAACTCTCATTCTACAGAATTCTCATCCTCTTGTCTGAGTGGCTTACTGGTAAGGAGTTGTGCTGCCAATCCAGTGACACACAGTTCCAATCCACCAGCTGCTTGGCTGGAGATGGATGGGCAGTCTCTTTCCATGTGATTTACTGCCTCTGAGAACACACTGGAGCGTCAACTGTGGGTTGGTTCCACCTCAGTAGTACCATACAACACAACAACTTGTCTGAATTGTTCCTTGACCATTAATATAAATTCACTGTGCCCTAAAGTTTCTGTCTTAATCCTTCAAGTTGCTGTGTCACTTTAATCCCATATAGGTCATTCCTACTGTTATTGTTCTTATGTCCCATCAAGTCAGAACTGACAGACAGATGACCCTTCCGTAGTTTTCGAGGCATAAGCCACATGGGAGGAGATGGCTCCCTTTCTTCCACAGAACAGCTGGTAGAACTGAAGCATGTGCCATTCTGTTGGCAGCATGGTTCTTTATAAAGTAGGCCTCCAGAGTGCTCTAGATGCTCCAGGCAGAGCTTTGTTTGCTAGTTAGGCTAAACTATTATTTAGTTTTAAAAGAGACTTCACAGCATAGTTCTGGTTTAAGGTTTAAAGACTATCTCAGCTAGTCGTGTCAGGGACTCACCTAAATTTAATGGCTCTAGGATGTGTCTGGAGTTGATAAATTTAAGAATTTAAAAATTCTGTTCTACATTTCCCCCTTTTTGATCAAGATTTTTCTATAAACTTTTTTATCAATATGTTTAGTAACGGTAATAGGTATCATTTAGTTTTTATCGTTTTATTCAAAAGAAAGCAGTTGTTCACAGAGGCAATGAGGCACGTACTCCATACTCTCCTTCTTCATTGTTCCAGGTGAGTAGAGACAAATTGTGTCTTGATTGGTCACCTACAAGCATTTCAGACCCCAAGGGTTATATAATGAACTCAAAAGTAAAACAGAAACATTAATATAAATTTATTTTTACTAAGAAAGAGACAATTCAATAGTATGATTGTTGCCTTAACTACTAAGTTGGCAAAACTTGAGAAAATTGCTAAAGATATCATTTTGTCTGTTTCCTCAACTATAAAATAATGATAATACCTGCCTTACCACATGGGAAGGTTCTGAAAAGCAGTGACTAACTAATCTGGCCTGGGATAAGTAAAATACCATCGTAATAGAACGATATGTTGTCATGATTCACTACTACATTAGTAACATTCATTATCTTACATGATCCCTGCATCAGTCTTCAGCTTGATGAGCTGGATGGGATTTTTTTTTCTTTTTTGAATGAATCGTTTTGACTCTCAAGTGATCTTTATTGTCCAGCTCATTAATTTAGTTCAAAATTAACATTTTTTCCTGATATTTCAAATATTGCAAAGAGAGAGAAAAACTGGAGAATAATTCCTAGATATTCTCTATAGTAACAGAGTTTTATAATCATTTTACCAAAGGACGAGGTGAGATTTTGGCATATGTTTATAATGCTGCTTAATAATATTGTACTTATTGTTGTGATTCTTTACAGGAAATCTGTGAATCGCTTCTTAACTGTGCACTGGAAGAAGTAAAGCAATCTCATGAGCCGCAGCAGCCAGATCGCAAACTCTTTGGCTTCTGTCTGTCTTCTGAGATGCCCTCTACCACCGCAGTCACTGCTGTTCCAGAAGTTGGGTTGGTCATCGATGGCAAAACATTGAATATCATATTTCAGGGAAAGCTGGAGAAGAAATTTCTAGAATTGACCCAGTATTGCCGATCTGTGCTATGCTGCCGTTCCACTCCGCTCCAGAAGAGTATGATAGTCAAGTTGGTGCGAGACAAGTTGAGAGTCATGACTCTCTCCATAGGTACCTGATATGCTGAGGTGTGGGTGGCAGCTTGGGAGAGGCATGAAACAGAGGTGGGCGGTCAAATATGAATGTTCTGGTACTTAGGCTGAGAGTCACTGTCAGAGAGAGCTCGAAGTGGCCATCAAGAACTAGGAGACGAAACCTAAGCTAACCTGAGCTGGGAAGTGAATCTCAATCAGAGTTCTAGCAAAGAAAAGTCAGTATCTGGATGGAGGGGTCACAGGCAACAGGATCTTGGACTCCAGAACATCCAGGTAACACAAGGAGTTACCAACAACAGCACATATCCAGCTCCCCTCAATTCTGAAATACAGACCTTCTTTTTGCCCCTTATTTGTACATGACCCACCACAGTGAACATCACCTATTGAGATGCTCAGCTTTTGCCTCTTGGCTCAAAAAGCCTAACATAATAACTTTTTTTTAAAAGTTCATCAACTTTTGTTTTAAATTGTGGTTGTTAATTTTTTTAGTATCTGAGTGTGGGCAGCTAGAAGGGAGATTTTAAGAGTAGTTTCTTTTTATAGGCTCATTCTTAAGCACAAGTATCAGCACAAAGTATATTCTTAATAAATGTTGTCTAGGTGGTTAAATGCTTGCCTGATAATGAAAAGATAGGTAGCTTGAGCCCATCAGCTGCTTCATGATATTTGCTTCACTAAAGATTTGCAGCCTTGGAAATCCCATGGGGAGATTCTGTTTTGCCTATGAGGTTACAATGGGTCAGAATCAACTCAGCAACAATAGATTGCTTTGGTTTGGTTCAGTCAGCGATAAAAAAAACTTGTTCAGAAGTAATCCAATTTTTAAAAATTATAATTGAGGCAGGGAAATAATGCCATACTTATTTTAAACCTGGCAGAAACTCGAAAACCTAGTGTATAGGAATCGCCATGATCTGGTTAGCATTCCAATCACACCTCCCACCACAGCCACTTTCCCCTCCTCAGCATTCAGTACTCCATGCCCTCTGTCCAGTTGGAACAGCCTCCTGTCATTCACGAACCATGCCCTTCCTACGAAAGCTACTCCCTCTGTTAAACATTCTTTACATCACAATTTAGCCTTCATTTCTTCTGGATGCTTTCCCAAGGTTCAGCACACAATGCTCCAAAATATTGTTAGTCCAAACCATGATACTTATCCAGTAAACTACAAGTTCCTTAAATATAGAGATAATAGCAGTCTTATCACTACTTCTTTGCATGCCCTGCGTGCACCAAGTACCACATAAAGGTTGCCTTAGTATAGGGATACTTATCTGGATTATACCAGCCTCTCTTCCTTCTACAAAGTCTTGAAAAGAGGCTTCCTCTTCCTGCATTTGAAGCAAGAGGTCTATTCCACATTGTAGGTTTGTTTGGGGTTGTTTTTTTTTTTCCTTATGCCTTCAGGTAAAAGCCCTCCAAGGGGTGAAAAAGGCCAAAAAGGATGTTAAGAGCAGACCTTTAGCAACTACATCCTACTTAGACCCTCAAATTGTCCTCTTGTGAAATGCAAACACACACAAGGCCATAGCCCAGAGTGATTCCCTAAGGTGGGAGACTCGTTTCACTCCCATAGCAACAGAAACAAAACCAGCAGGGCGAGAAATAACATGATCCCCACCTCTGCCTCCCCCAGCTCATAAACTAAAGAGGTGAAAGGAGGATTTGTTCTACCATGAAGATTAAAATAATTCATTGCTATAAAGAGAAAAACACATTCAAAGCATTAAGACCACTTGTAGGGCAATATTTTCAAGAAAAAGATATAAATTAGTAGGGAATAAATCTCTTTCTCTCCCTTGATTCCCTATTCTCTATGATAAATAGCATAAATTTAATTTCAGCTTATTATGAGAAGCTTTCGAATAAAGAGGCAGACCAGAAGAGAATTAAAATTATTTAGTCTAGAACAAGGGGCTAACAGACCACAACCCACAGGCCAAACTCAGCTCATTATGAGAACAGGTACTAAGAATGGTCTATATGCATTTTTTAAATATAAAATCAGTAGATGCAAAATAGAAGTTTCATAGTTTTGCCTCTTAACATAAATTCTAAAATAATTACTATCTGTTATTGTTGTAGTTAAGTGCCACAGAAGTGATTATGAATCATAGAGACCAAAAAAACAAACAGGTACATCTTGGAAAAGATGGAGCCAGAGTGCTCCCTGGAGGCAAGGATGACAAAGCTTCATCTCTCATACTTTGGACATGTTGATTGGAGAGGCTATTCTTTGGATATTATGGTCAGAAAGGTGGAAGGTCAGTAAAAGAGAGGAAGACCCCCTTTGAGATTGATTGACACTGTGACTGCAGCAATAGCCTCAAAAGTATCAGAGATGGTAAGGATGGCACTGAATAGGACAGGATTCAGGTCTGTTGTTCATAGGGTCTCTATGAGTTGTACTTAACTCAACAGTACCTACCAGTAGTAACAACAACAACACAGTGACACTGTGAACAAGAGACTTACCCTATGTCATCTTCATCAGCTCTGACACAGTTACTATCTGGCGCTCTACCAGAAACGTTTGCCAACCTCTAGTCTAGAAGATAAAACACTGGTGGGGGAGACGCAAGGTAAAGTATGTGGGAAAAACTTCACTGTATAAAACAAAGCTGACAATCCAATACAGATGTTACCCTGGAGCTAGTTAAATGTAATTAAAAATGAGAGTAATTTTCTCAATTGTCCAAATTTCCATAACCTCATTTGGACAGTGCAAATACAGATTATTTCTATCATTGTAGACAAGGCATCTATTTGATAATGCTAGTATTGAGGGACTCTGGGGTGGGGGTATCTTTTTGCCTATGTCCTTACCTTCAATTTCTGGAAACAGTTCTTTTCATTAAATTATAACTCAATGGGACTAATTGTACCTCAACAAAAAAGATTAGTCAATTCTATATTCCTGTTATCAGAACTGTTTCCCTCTCCTTGAATAGTTCTAAAAAATTGTGGTGATTTGACTTTCTAAACGTTTCAGTGTCTTCATATAATCAGTATTTGAAATTATACCAAGTTAGAGAAAGAATATCGGCCCTGGAATCACAAGATTGAAGTTCGAGTTTTATGAGTTTCTTTGCTTGCTAAACTTCCTTCGATAAGTCCTTTTTGTTGGACAACAAACAAAGATGACTGAAGAAAAATTTATACCTTTGAGCTGTGGTGTTGGAGAAGAATACTGAGTATCCCCTGAGCATACAAAAGAACAAGCAGATTGTCATGGAGAAAGTGCAACCAGACAACTCCCTGGAGACAAAGATGCTGGAACATGTTGTTGTTGTTGATTGCCATCGAGTTGAGCATGATTCATAATGACCCTATTAACAAAAATCCTGAAGCCTTTCTATAACCATCATCATTTATCAAAGTTCATAGAGCTTCCAGAGGCATGTTGTTTAGGAAGTGGATGCCTCTGCATACTTTTGGCTTATTGCTAGGAAATGTCCTTGGAGAAGGACATCATACTTGGAAAGGTGTGGGATGGCAAAGAAGAGGAAGACCCTCAACCAGGTGGATTGACACAGCAACTGCTGCAATGGGCTTGAGCGTGTCGGAGATTGTGAGCATGGCACAGGATAGAACAGGGTTCAGATCTGTTGTTCATAGGGTCGCTATGAGTCATATTCAGCTTGATGGCACCAAACAACAGCAACACAGCTTAACTTTGGGTTGGCAACACAACTCCTTAACACTATACTACCAGAGCTCCAACTGTCCCTTTGTGCTATTTCAATTCATAGCAACCCTCTGAACAGCTAACAAAACCCTGCCCAATCCTGTCCCATACTCACAATCACTGACATACAGGATCACATTGTTGCTGTCCTCTCTTCTTTGAACAATTTTACATAGTAGAACTTCTTGTCCACAGAAAAGAAGACTTCTCTCAGGCCAAATACTGCAATAATGAGTATTCCTATAGAACTATTGAGAGCAATGTTTAAAAATAACTGAATCTCATTCAAATGGGGCTTCTTTAGGGCCATTGAATATAAACGCATTCTGATTGTCAATAGGTCGCTGGAACAGGAATAAAGCTCTTTCTTTATTCCTCTTCTCTTACCATCTCTCTTCTTTCAGGGGATGGAGCAAATGATGTGAGCATGATTCAAGCTGCTGATATTGGGATTGGAATATCAGGACAAGAAGGCATGCAGGTATAGTTCTCTTCAGCTTTTCTTATTTCTTTTATGGCCCTTTATCTTTATTGGTCTGTGGGCATTGGTGGTTCCATGGTAGAATTCTCTATTTTGACATAGGGACCCAGGTTTGATTTCCAGATCAAGCCCACATGTGCAACTAGCGTCAATCGGTCTTTGGAGGCATCGATGATGCTGAACAGCTTTCAGTGGAACTTTCAAACTAAGGCAGACTAAAAAGAAAAGCTTGGCTGCCTACTCCTGAAAATCAGCCACTGAAAATTCTATGGAGCACTCTGGTGGCGTTCACAGCCAATCGTGGGGATTGGCACAGGCCAGGCAGGGTTTCATTGTTGTGTGTGGGTTCCATTGTGCACTGGTCTCCATGAGTCAGGGCTGACTCAGTGGCAGCTCCTAGCCAAAAGTCTTACTTAAGAATTAGAGTTAATCTAGGAAATTAGAACTGAGATCCAAATGGAGATTTGTACATCAATGTTCATAGCAGCGCCATTCATCAAACAAATAAAAATTGCCCAAATGTCCAACCAAAAAAAAAAAAAAAAAGAATTAGAGTTAAGGATTTCCCTCACAACACTGGAGGACTTTCTCACTGAGAATTCCCTTCTAAACTTTCAGAATACATAAAGAAATGAAAGGCTGCTCTTTCATTCAGACAGAGATGCTATCTACATTCTAAAACCAGAAGACCTAATCATTCAGGAAGTTAGGGGCACCTTTATACACACGCAGTTATATATACCCGACCCTTGTTCACTGTAACCTCTACCCACATCCAAAGTGGCAGTACCGTCCCTGACCAGTCACAGATGTAAAGACATTTGAGCATCTTTTTCAATGGCTATTTTAGTCTTTATGATTGGATTGACTCATAATTTGTTTAGTACACTTCCACTTAGTGACTCACACAGTTAATCCCTTGGCTGTTTAGCTAAGAGTATTAGCTTTTTCTAACTCATCCAGAGGCACTTCAGAAGACTGACCTGGTGAAATGCTTCCAAAGGTCATAAACCTGAGAACGTGACGAAGCAGAGCTATATGGCATATGCATCAAGAGACAGAATCAACTCAGCAACAACAATGTAGCCAAAACTCAGCTTAGGACAACCATAGTGATGTGCACTGTCACGTAGCCCCACTAAATAGACTTTGTGATTTTGAATTATTAACAATTGTAGTTTCATCATCAGAGTAGAAACTTGTTGTTGTTGTTGATATTGTTGTTGATTGTCTTTGAATGGAGCACAAATCATAGTGACCCTATGAACAAAAGGCCTGAAGCCCCTCCACAACTATAGACATTTTTCAAAGTTCACAGAGTTTCCAGAGGCATGTTGTTTAGGAAGTGAATGCCACTCCTGCTTCTAAACTTGACATATGTTATTGGCTGAGTTGCCTGCGATGTGTAGCGACCCTATGTACAGCAGCTCTGAACCCTTCCCTGTCCTGAGCCAGTCTAATTCTGACACACCAAACCCATCGCCGCAGTTACTGTATCACTCCGTCTCACCCAGAGTCTCCCTCTCATGCGCTCTCCGTCCACCCTTCCAAGCATGATGCCCTTCCCCAAGCACCGATCTCTCCTAGCCACATGCCCAAAGTAAGTGAGGTGGAGCTTAAAAATCCTAGCTTCCTTGCTATTGTGAACAAAGCTGCAATAAACATGGGTGTGCATATATCTGCTTGGATGTCAGCTATGGTCTCTTCAGGGTATATTCCCAGTAGTGGAATTGCTGGGTCAAATGGTATCTCTATTTGCAACTTTTTGAGAAAGCGCCATACTGCTTTCCACAGGGGTT